GTCCATTCATTTTAATGACAAGTGAGCTTCTCTATATTGTCATTTACTGGCCAGATTGCCATCACATTTGATACAGACATTCATGGTCCCTGGAGGATAATTCCAAATGATTTTGTTGAGAACCCTTAAGTTAACTTTTCATTGACCTTTCCACCATATCGTCAGATTAGGCAAGATTTGCGCTGTCGGGTGTGTTCAGACTGGTCACAAAGCAAATATTGAATATGGTGTGATTGTATATAAAGTTAGTAAAAAGTATATGTGAACAAATGTATTTGCTCTGGATGGTGCAAATGAAGGCAAAGACAAGTTGAAAACGTTTTGATGCTCCATTAGTTTTACACAAACGGCACCGTCTGGACAATACGTCTGCCTTAAACACAGGATATCGCGTAAGTCAATGCTCCCAAAGGAACAAGTCACAAGCAAACATTCTTGTACATTCAACATATTTCAGTAGGGACGACGAAATGTAGCCATTTTCATGTGACACAGATTCATAAATTGATTAAATCATAAAGCCGCAATAATAGTATCATCATATCATCAAACTTGTTACAAAACAGTTGCCTATTGGCACATCCGGCAGACATGGAGCATCGTTACCATTCATTTTAAATAATGCTTCTGGTCACCTGATAACTTTCACCCTCCGTTTAGCTCAGTTTTGGTTTCCACCAAATCCTGGGTAAAGTTTCTGACTCTTTAGATGCTAGATGCTCCATCATGTCCAGCTTGTCTTTTTTTTGTTTTCTAGCTGCTGTTTGGTGCAGGGCAGGTGGCGCACAGTGCGTTTATCAGGCCTTTGTCATAGAAAGAAAGTTGAACATGGCATGAGAGTGAAAAAACTAAAACATTGAGCAAAAAGATGCTAAAATGTAGTAAAGTAAGTAAAATAGAGTTGAGAAGATAATTCTCTGTGGTTTCATCACTATGAGCGGCCCCCTTTCACGTCACATTTGATCCATTGTTAAAAAATGTATTGATAAGTGCCGCTTTCGTTCAACAAATTGGTGCTTACTTTGGCTGATGAAAACTTTAAATTACATACAGCTTTGTGACTGGACCCAAATTGGTATGTCTGATCCAAGGCTACAGCAGATTATAGAATAGCTTTTAATGGTCCAACTCCATCTCGCACGTATATTGTTTGAGTTTAGCGTCATAAAAAGCCAATAATGGCTCAAAAAAATGAAGACAGTGAGTGCTTTTAATATCCAATTTGGAAACAGGTAATATTTGCCAGCAGTAAAAAGGACCATATGTGACAGAAGGGAACGCCTATTGATATGAAATTGTTTTTGCTGACTGAGCTGTGTCTGTACCGTTTCTCTCTAACTCACACTGTCTGTCGTCGTCGTCTCCCCCCCCCCTTCAGCACAGTAGAGAAGACAGATTAGCACCTTCTTCTCCAGACCTCACAGTGCTTCTCATCTGCAGTGTCCTGATAAGCCCTGGAGAGACTGACTGTTGCAGCAGGAGAAAGTAGAGGGAACCCTCCCTAAAGCTTGCCACCAGTGGAATAAAATATCAGTGAAATTTACCTGACAATTAGTTTAGCTAGGTGGCTTCCCTAAGGGGGCGCACATACAGTATGTCCCACTCATTAAAAGCTCTTGCTGTTGCCGCGTTAAGGCCTGACTTTATCAACCTTGCTTTTAGCCCTGAGGTGAGAGGGAACCTGCTTATTCTGAAAGGTCAGTGGCCTGGAACGGGGAGGCAGAATAAATCGAATATTGCGGACTACTTTGAAAGCCCCTTGGTGCTTGCTCCCGTTTGTTCTGGAGGCCAGTAAATCAGTGGTTTGTTGTTGCTTTAACCTCAAGAACCGCCAGCAGCGCAAAGAGGACAGGCAGGTGGGGTAGTGCCGAGTAGGGTTGTTGTCATGCAACAGAGAGAGGAGGTCAATAAATTTGATAGAGTTCAGCCCCCCTGGCACATTTACAATTACTCACCTCATCACAGAGCAGCAGACGTTGGTGCTGGGCTTTCTCTCTGCAACACAAACCAGGAGTATCAGCTTACGTTTCAGTGATGAGGATCATCAGCTCTGTCTCAACAATCTGACAGCGTGATGCAGCAGTCAGGGACGGATAATGTGACCGAGAGCAAGACGTGCACGTCAACCTGGATTAGCGCTAAAGAAGGTATTATCTGATGAGCCTTATGATAGTTCTAGTGATAGCCGATTAATTAAAATGATTGACTGATAACGATCAGTGGGTCATAATTGGGTTCATCATCAGGCCATTTGTTTTCTTGTGGGCAAGTAGCACCGGGTGTTCATCTTATCGCGTCCTCGCAGGCTTATTGTACTCTTCTATCCGTCATCGAAGCATTTCTCGACCCAAAAGAAAGCATGCTAAAAGGCCCATAATGAGGCGTTGAGAGTGAGCGCTCTACGGCTTTGATATTGATTGGAGATGTTTATGCGACGGCAGAAGTAATGTCTTCACAGTAACATTTGGGAAATATAATTCAAACAAATGCACTCGGCTGAGTTGTGTGGCCAGGGAAGGGTGATGGATGATGAGGGGAATGGACTGGGACGGCAAACACCTCACCCATTAATCTGCAGAACTGTGCTGTCTGTGTCTGTTTGCATGGCAACACCAGCTCCCCATTACTCATTTAGCTACCGCCCATTATCAGTTTGTTGATGAAGGAAGTTTACCTCTAAAAAGATCTGGATGGTACTTGTGGCTCCCCTTCTAAAACTTCTGCGTGGGCGGTAAAGCCACTTAATTGCAACACTCATTATATGTCATACGAGAGGTACCCCAGAGCCTCTCAGAGACTTCTTACACTGCAATTAAGCCCCTCAATCGGGTATGTTGTGGTGTTGCAATGCTTAGAAGCTGATAGTAATGATAGCATCGTGTCAAAGTGCAGTGTGCTTTAAAAAGTTAGTTTTAATTACTTCTTCAGCCAAGCGTTGTAAATCGTATCAAACAGATTGCATGCGTTGGCCTCAGTTCACCTCTAAATTGCACAAAATAAGTCTTTTGACCTGTGGTATTTGAAAATGCTCTTCTTGCGAAGATGGTACATTGCTGCAGGCTGCCGTTGTGTGACTGCGAGCAATTATCTGTCACCGTTACCGAGCATTTTGTGTATAAAGCGCTGTTCAAAAGCATAAGCAAGCATTTCCCACAGCCACTGTACTGTAGGGGCTCTGCACGGGCAGAATTAGTGTCAGAAGAAGAAGGCCTAATATTGACCATCATTTACTGTCTTTGTACAAGAGCACCCTGGAGTGCGTACTTATCCACTTGCCTTTTAAAAAGAGGGGGGAAATGGTGATTTTGACATTTAGGAGCATAAAGAGAGACGCACAAGACTCCGGTTTTGCAGGATAATTCCAAACTATCAGCTTGGCCATTCAAACAATGGCACATTAAGCATCTGTAATGACAGCACAATTCAAACATCAGATTCTTTAAAGGAACGATCTGTAATTATGGGTTCGGCCCCCACCTCCAGAAATGTTGATGGCTGATCTCTTCATGTTGTTGTTGTCCTACTGCATCTCTGGCAGCCAGCACAACCAGCCAGCCAAACCGGACACAGTCCAACACTCACCATCAATCAGCAAGACACTCATAGCGTTGCAAGCATTCGGTGTCCAGACCTCTGGCAATTTCAGGCCACTAATTAATCACTGTAGGCTTGTCTTCATGTATTGATCCTGCCTCGAGCGTTCTAAGCCAGGGTTTAACCTGGACTGTGTTCCCTTTGGCGCTGTCTACAATGAAAATGTATTGTTTCACATGTGACTTCAAAGCGAACTTTGGCCTTAAAAAGATTTTGTTTCGGCAAACTGGCCGGATCTGGCTTCAGATCTCAGTTTGGCTCGTTACTTCAAGAAGAGTCTCGAGCCACTGAGCCACTGCTGGAGTTACACGGATCTGGCCTCAAAATTGAATGACTCAAATCTAGCGTTACAGAGATAAATTTCCTTCTATCAGTTACGATCCTGATACTGATTGTGTGTAAGTATGACCTCAGGCATAATGTGTGATCAAACAACAGGCGAGGCTCGTATTCCTCATTGAAACATCTGTCGGGGATTTTTCTCACTGGTTTAGTTCTTTTGCTCATTAGCACCACTCTTCACAACTGAATAGTTTCAGTCTGATGTTTTACAAGTTCTGTTACAAGTTCTTCATTAGAAAAAAAAAAAGAAGTAGGTTCATCAAGCCAAAGCACCTGAAATGACACGCAGGTTCAGAGTCCCAATCCCAGCAGTAGATCTGCAGTCCCAGGCCAACCTGCCCACTCATCAACAAGAAGAGTAACAGCTGGAGCCGTTTATGTTTAGAAGACATATGCTGATGTGTCATCATATGTCCTCTGGCCTCATGGGCTGTGATCCAGAATAATTTAGACAGGAAAGAAGGGGGTCTTACGCAAAAAACAAACAAGAAAACGAAGTAGGCGAGAAAACAAAAACAACAACATTTGACTAAGTTTTGTCTTTGGTGGTAAATATTTGAAATAAGAACTGGGCTGTTATCAAAGTAATTTCCAAATCTGTTGCCTGTTAGCGTAATAGTTAAAGTTTAAAGGAAAAATCTGGCACCTTTTACGTGGATGTCCAATCAGTGTTGATGGTAAATGTAGTCCATTGAAGCAATACATTTCTCAGTGTCTGCTATATTGACAGAGAATCTGCCAAAACATGTGTACGTTGCAGCTATACTTGCAAATATAAAATGAAACATGGAGAGAGAAAGTAACACTCATTGCCTGCAGGTGGCACAAATGCAAACTCGCAGTAGCTATTCATTTTCTTCCCTACAGGTGGCGCTGGTCAGCATGTATACAGTTGGTCTGACATTGACCAATCGGCTCCGTCTCGTGGCGATTCTGCCGCCCGTTAAAGTTAAAATGAGTTTCAGCCCATGGATGACGTCAAAGCAAGTTTCATGAGGTGCTTCACATGTATAGAATAATCAGATGCTGGATGTCAAGCTGAAAACTGTATTTCTCTTCTACAGGGAGCCCAGTAGATCCTAGCAGGAGGAGGGCAGCAGACGTGATGGCGTCTCATTCCAACATCATAACTCCTCGCGTAGTAATCGGTGGCTTCAGAGGAGGAAGCCTGTCCTCCAGAAACATCCTCCAACTCAATGGCAAGCACTAAAATCCACAGCCCACTGAATTCTGTCAGTGTTAATGGACTAACATTTCAGCTAACTTCACGTTCATTAGCTGCGCAGTTTATGTTTTTCTCCACTCAGTGTATGACTAAGCGTGTGTGTGTGTGTGTGTGTGTGTGTATTCTACGCGACGGAGCAATTAATGCCCTTCATTTGGGCGGTGACCATGCTCCGGCTTTTATCAACTCGACCGGATCCGTTTCACATCCTGTCTCTTGGCTGCACCACTGAACCACTCAATTTTCAGCCTAATTGAGCTTGCAGAAGCATCTCTGGTGGCTAGCCACAGTCCTGTTTGTATTTTGTGTCTGTGAGTGCATGCTTAGAGGAACACACACACTGGGGAAGCCAATTTTTTCCTCAATTAGACAAGCCTTCACCAGTCAACTGGTGTGTATTCCTAAAGTTGTCTTTTAAGTGTGCACTATGACTCAAACACACACACACACAAACACAAACACACACACAGTAAGAGGCATCAGGGAAAGTTGCAAACAAGTAAATAATTTCTTATAATAATTTAAAATAAGTCTGACCGCTCGAGAATACTGTGTATTGTATTACATTTCACACATATTTGCTCCGAGCACACCACATACTAGTACACCGATTCTTAAAAAAAAAAAAATAAATAAATAAAATAAATAAATAAAAAATACATGCATAATATGAATTCCGACCGAAAAAACATGTACTGTATAACACACGTTTAACAAATGAATGCATGCTCACTCCAAACATATTCCCTAAACTGTTGCAATCATTTATTCACAGCTCATGTAACTGTGCAAACATGGTCTGTTCACTCTTTGCTCCTCACCGCCGCCACCTCTCCGCTGCTCTGGTCTGTCTTACACACTGCACTCCTTCCTCTCTCCACTCCACCGTCTTGTGACATCTAAACATACAATGCGCCTAATTGCCTTCACTGGAGTCCAGTCGCAACAGTTAGCCACGCTGAAGCTGTGTTGTGTGTTAGTGAGTGTGTGTGTGCTCCGTCCCGCTGCTGCCTGCCTGTGGCTCTGAAGGAAGCAGTGTTGCCAGACACTATCTGGTTGGGTGACAGGCAGTCGACCCAATGCCTCTCCGATAAGGAGACTTGGGAACAATGTGCAGGGATAAAAAGTGATCCTGGGAGAGAAAAACAGAGATAGAATATATACCTAAATTCATGTGTCAGCAAAAAGTCACTTTTGTTTTCTCAATACATCAGTAAATATATTTCCATTCCATGTATATCTGATGTGATTTCTTGCTTGATCACAGTATGACTAGAAAAAGAAACGAGGCTGTTTGCTGATTTGCTGGTTACACGTCTGCTTTGATGACATTGGTTGTTGTTGCTTTATAATCAGGTCATCATGGTGGTCGAGGTAACTCAACTCACTGCAGCTGAAGAAAACCTGTGTAAATTGACAAAACATGAAGAGATCTGCAAAACTCTGTGAACACAAGTCAATTACAAACAAATACAACATCAAGAAATGCAATGCAAATACACATGCAGGAACTTTTCAACTGTGTTAAAACACAAAACTGATGAACGCTCAAGGAATTAGTTTTTTTCCTGAGTTCCAGTGCATCAAGCTCTCTCGGCCGCCGGCATTTATTGAAGGTTGTGATTGGAGTAGAGCCAGGAAAGTTTACTAGTGCCAATGGGATGCCTGAGTCACTGAAGAATATACACATTTTTCTACAACACTCTTTTTTGTTTTTCATTTATCTAGAGAAGCTTCTCAAATGTTCAATGTCCAAACACAAGCAGCCATACTAGGACATCCGTATGATCATCAGTATCAGCATTTGGTACTTGACAGTGCTACAGACACATTTTAGTGAGTCAGTTTATCTTCCTACATGCTGCAAAAAAAGTACTCCATCAAATAAATCTGTTTTTAAATGACAAAAATATGGCCTGCTCTGACTGTTGTTCAAAGTGCCGGATTAGGCAAATTCTCTAGTCATAGCGTTTAAAGTACATGGGTAATTTGCATGATCCAGTTCAAATGAGGATGGATTATTTGGTGACTGTAGATGAATCAGGTATTTTAATTAGACATTTTGGTGCTCGTAAAGGGTAAATAGCCATGGAGGTGAAAGATGATTTGAGGGGAGAGAGTCTGTTTACCCAGCAGTAGGGCTCCGGCCCAGTTGTAGCGGTGCCAGTTGTTCGACTGGACTTTTGTCTGTGTACAAGCTGTTGTCTCTTGTGCTCCAACAACACTTTAATCTGTCAGTGCCTCTCTCCCTTGGACATTTGGAGGGTTTTCAGAACATATGGTCAAAATGGCGAAGAGATTAGATTCCACTCTGTTCAGTAAATATATTCATGATTGCGGTCTGTTTCTCCTTCGCAGCGAGGAACGCTGCACAGGCACACAGGCTGGAGATAGACGGGCAGCACGACCTAAACGAGCCCGACGGTGGGCGCCGCAAGCTCAACTGCATGGCTGCCGTGCATCAGCGGGAGGGCAAGGAAGAGGCTAAGATCACGGTGAGGTCAAACGTCGCACTCGAGCCAATGGCGAGACAGGAATAGCTGCTCACTGCTTCTATAAAGCGGAGCCACAATAGTCTGTCCCTGTGTGCCTCCTTCACTTAAATCTCAAACGGACAACGAAGGCAGAGAAACGGCTTTCCTTCTGGCTCTATAACATGTCATGAGGGAGCTTTCTTAGAGGCGTGGAGTGTCTCCCACACAGCTCGCCGGTGTTGCAACTCCCCTGGCGGTGTGCCCTTCTACCCTCTGTGTTTTAGTGACTGTATAAGAAGGTGTTAATTGTTCTTCTACCCGAAGGCACATCTTGTACTTTCACCCATGGGTGCACATGCTAAATGTGATTTTGGCTCTGGTGCATGTCTGTCTGAGACATTTTACACATTACATTTCCTGTGGTAAGCACCCGCAACACAGCCAATACTATGTGGAATATTACTGAGTCCTGCTCGCACAGGAACACGATTTTAAGAGTTGCTTTGCAATTCAATTTGGATTTGACTTTTCTGGGCTGATAGCCACAGCCTAATTTGGTCAAGGTTTATCTCCGGCATAATTTCAGTGCACTGTGGAAAACCTCAGTATTATTTTTTGTCACACACTTAGCTTTACCAACCTGATTTTGAAACTCAATTTGAGGTTTTAAATTGATCTTTTAAGACAAGTGTACATACTGGCCAGAATCCCTGGCATCATGCTGTTTAAATAATATAAAGTTCGCAATACAGGGTTTAAATGAAGCAAACGATACAATATCAGAAAATACTGGATATAATATTGATTTCTTTCAAAATACCTGTACTCGGTGGGTGATGGAAATCGTCGATGTGTGGAATTGTTTTGACCGGCCGTTGGGAAATGTAATTGTCTTTAAGGTTTTGAAAAGGTCATTTCAACACTTGGCCATAAAGGAAAGTTTGTAACATTAAGCAGGCCTGTTTGCGGAGTATTCATTCCAACTACACCGTGTTTCAACTGTAACATTTAATCACACTGTAGCCATGGATGTATTGGTCATGTGTTATTGTATGCCTTTAAATACCACCAGAGTAATGAGTGAGATGTGGGAACAGGGCAACATCGCTACCAAAATGTCAGAAGTTTTATCCGACAGATTATCTAAACCACAATGTTATGAGGTAAAATGGAGAGTGAACACACCCGAAATGTTGCAGAGTGTGTGCAAATTACGTCAACTATGGTAGGTCAATGTGAAACCAGGAAGGCTCTGTAAACTGTGCTCAATGCTTATGTACAGGGGGAAGTTTGGGGAATCATTTTCCATATTTTACAGAATGTCATGACACTGCATCTTTTCCTGTATTTGCCATTGTTCTTGGATGTTAGGATCGCACTAAGGAAGCCCGGTTGGCCCGACATCTTTATCAGAACAAATCCAGCGAAAAGCGCAGCAAGGCGGAGGGCATCGCCAACATGCTGAGCCAGGCCATCACCACCCAGCACCTGCTCTACGCAAGCCTGGGCTCCGCTGAGTACATGGAGTTTGTCCTTAAAAATCCCTTTAACGTACCTCAGACGGTCACCGTTCACAGTGACGACCCTGAGCTCAGGTGAGACCCTGGTGGTGGTGTCAGGCTGGCTTCCCACCTATAACTATTTGTGGTGTGTCCCGAGTCTAACACACCAACTGCGAGTACGTGTTTCTGCGCTGTACGTGTTTTCCATTCCCACCCCTCCTTAGCCCCGCCGTGAAACTGTGTTCACACGCTCCGATCGTGTCTCCAGAGGTGACTCAGCAGCTCTCTCCCCAATGTGAGACATATTTAATCCAGAACTTTGTTCTTTGAAGAGATGGCTTTAGCTCCCTCCGAATTTCTAACCACCAGTCTTGGCATCAAGGGTTGCTGTTACTGTGAATACAAAAGACTTAACAGTAGAGGGCAGTCAAGCAACATTAAACCGGATATCCATCATTAACACAAGAAGAAGAAGGAAAGCAGCTGGCTCTCCACACTTACTATTGGGACTGTCATGACAAGTCGAGAGTGGCATCCTATTCTGAAGTTGACTTACCACTAAACCAACTCATGGCTCTCATTTTGGGAGGCCTCACCAGACCAAGGCTGCCTCTGAAACAAAAGTGAAACTGGAGCGTCATAAAACCTCACATGGTGCTCATAGTGCTGCCAGTCATGGCTGCTTAATCATGATGCTGATTCATTCCTTAATGGTGCCATCATTCGGTCATCAATGAACAATAAACAATATGAGAACATAAACAGGGTCTGAAAGGAATGGTGATGCTGAAGTAAATTATGCAGCGCCTCCCATAAAGTGACGCAAGCAAAACTTGCTTTACAAAATTCATTAACAAATCCCGTCATCCACACCAGCACGAGTAAGTCGAGATGAAGTTTGTGTGAGTCTGACTCACTCCTTGCTCGTTTGATATGATGCGTGTGCGTGTGTGTGTGTGTACTGATGTGTGTGATCGTACGTGTGCCTGTTTTAACGTTTGATTTTATTTACTCTTAAGACGCGTCTTGTTTGTATGAAGTGGGTGCATTATTTAGCCTTTGAATTTTCTAATTTGAGACAGCTGGTTTTGTGCGTGTGCCTTACACATTTACAATTTGTTCGCAGAGTATTTTTATCAATGAACGAACAAGATAGATTGTTCGTCAGTGCAAATATAGCGGCCACATTTCCAAACACACTTTGCATGTGTGTGTCTGCGTGAATAACGATGATAAAGCTCCTTCAGCAACACACACAGTCAGTTGACCTTGACACAGATGCAGACATAAAGCTGGGGAGATGCTAAATAACCCCTTTAATCCACAAATAGAAGCCATTATGGCTGATATTTTCTGGATCACCCGTTCTTGGTATCCATGCCGTGTTTGTTTCCTTCAGTTTGCGGCGTTGTTAATCCCCTGGCACTGAATCTTTTGTTGTGGATTCTGGTCATGCCTGAGTTTTGGATTAACATATCACGTTGATCAACAAAGGCTGGAGTGCGCCATGGATGAATCATTATGGCATTAGCCCGGCCACCGGCCCTACCAGGTCTAATTGAGTGTCATCAATCCCCGCATCTGTCCTCTCTCCGGCTTAGTACCCTGTTAGTTTATTTATATATTTCCTGATGAGGCAGCGTGACACTTTACACCGAACCGTCTGCCACCTCCACCAAGAGCCAGAAACGTGTAAATTAGCAAGGAAGCGTCTGCATTTGATGTGTTTTAAACGCAACACTGCGGGATTCAAGTCACGCGTAGCAAAGCTTCAGAGACTCTTTGGTGGTGGAGACCTCGCATCTTTTCCAGATGTTTTGAGACAGGTCACTAAACACGGCACTGCCCCGAACACTTCTGCATTTTATGACACTGTGGTTTGTATTTTATTAAAAGGGAGCGCTGTTATGTGCGATGTTGTTTTGTGTGCGACCGTGATCTCCATTGAAGAGATGAGGAGATATGATAGAAGGAAAATGTAATAATGTAATTATTAGCTAGGTCTGTATCAGAGTTGAATCTAATCATAAAGGAAGGAATCTCTGTCTGTCTGTGGGTATGTCCTTGGCATATCTCGAGAACCGTCCATCCCTTCTGCTACACACCTGGCGGGTGCACGCAGTTTAATGCTGGATTTACTAGCATCACAACCAAACTCTGCTTCATTTCCCTGGAGTAGTCAACAAGCGATGAGCGGGTCATGCCCCCCAGACAACGCTGCAAGCACCAATACCAAGCAATCGGCCCGTTCAAACGGGCACTGCAGTAGTGATCCCAAAATGACTTGAGTGCTGCCCTGCACCCTTATTTGTGTACTGGAGACTTTGTGTCTGATTAATCCACTTGTAGAACCACCTGCATAGTTTTCTAAAACAAATTTTGTAGCTGAACAAGTAGTTTTTAAATGGCTGTAATAATGCGTTTCGAGGTTGGACCTTAGTGGGTTTTTTTGTTTTTGGTACAAATAGGAACACAGGAATGTTTCCTGGGAAAAGGATTGTGCTGACAATCTGAATTCCCAGTATTCAACCCTCATCTATGTCTCCGCCACATGCGTATCTGTTTTTGAGATTTCTGAGCTGTACTTGAGGCAACATGAAATGTTTTTTTTTCACGAACCTGCCAAGTCTTTGAAGGGTTAAAGAATATGTACACAAACAACAACAAAACTGGCCCGTGTACCTCTGCTATCCTGGTCAGTGCGCCGAGGCTACCCCGCTGTGACTTCCTTGTCAATATTTCAACCAATATTTGACGAGGAGCTTCCTTTAGAAGAGAAGCAAGGCCTTGGGTATAGTGCTTTGTTCTAAAGAAACAAACGGAAGAAAAGTCTGACCCTCAACCTAAAATCCAGCTTCCAGGCTTTGAAGGGAGAGTACTTCGAGAGAGGCTAGGCCCGCTGTAGCTTTGATGTCTGTTTAGAGCCCGAAGGCTCCTCTTGAAGTGGAGAACACGTTTGCTACCTGTTGCCATCCATTTTGCATGGCTACCTTTCACACTTGGCCTCACAGTGCCAAGTGTGGGCCATGACTGTTTGGCTAGCAGAGTGACGGGAGACCACAGCTCCTCTGCTGCTCTCCAGGCTGCTGCTGCTGCTTTCCCTCTCATTATTTCTCCCTCTCATCATCTGTCTTCTCTGTGCTTTCCCAACTCCATTCAAGTCTCCCTCTTGATGTCCTTTTAATCATCTGTATTCTGTTCCTTCTCTGTTTTTCCTCAATTTGTCCTCTTCACCTCCTACTTTATTCTATTTTATTTTGTTGAAAATGAATCAACCCATATATTTATTGTTATTTATGCTCAGGTGACACACACACACACACACACACACACACACACTCTTTGTTGTCGTGATGAGCCACAGGCAAAAAATGTTTTATTCCAAGTGCACAGGTGGGAATCTCCAAATAAGTTGCATGGAATTGACTGTTGTATCTCGCCCTAATGTCGGCGAGGTGGGGCCCTGAGAAATGCATAAACTCTCGTGCTCCTATTTATAGAAATCCCTCTCTCCCTGCTCATGGGTTGGAACCTTTGAAGTTTAAAGCAGCACTTCCCTTTATGCATTTGGGCGTGAAATGTTTGCATTCAAAGGAAGAGGAAAGAGTGGAGACGAGACCTCCCTCTGTCAGACCGTCTTATCTGTACCTGTTGCTTTCTCCCTGGTAATCCATTTGTTGGGGATCGGAGGGGGGCTTTCACTGACCTCTATACACTTTTATTAAAGCTGCCGGCGGTCATTAAAGGAAAGCATTGCGTTCTGTGTGTTGACTGCTCGACCGTGGAATTGGCTCACTTCGATTGTTGGCTCTACAGTTGCTGGAATTAGTTTGTAAGAATGGGAAATCTGAATTGTATGTCTCTACTAAAGGTAATTGTATTGTTTTAGAAGCATTGCTTGATCCCATGGAATATTTCCCAATGTTTTCCCATAGTCATGCATTAAATGTAAAGGATATTCCCACACTTAAACATCCTGTTTCTAGAAAAAAAAATGTAGAATTTCGAATGAAAACTTTTATAGTCAAATAACCATCCAAATCTGCAGCTCCCCTCGGGTTCACTGAGCTTTATAGTGAGCTTCGGCTCATTGTTTAGCTGTCAGGCCCACAACTTCACTGTTTAGGTTCACTCTCACCACTCTCATAGCATCATTATCAGCCAAAGCAGGCAGCAGTATTCAGCGAAAAAGCTGTAATAACCCACTGTACACCTGCTCAGAACCCACTGTACACCTGCTCAGAACCCACTGTATGGCTGGTGAACATAGTGGAGCATTTAGCAGCTAAAGAGCCAGGTATGTCACTCAGAGACCAATAACAGAGCTAAAAGAATACATGTTGGAATTACATTCTGAAGGTGGCCAGAAACATGACACCAAGTAACTTGTTGCTCCTTAACTGCTGAATTATGTGAGCTCACATCTGCTGAAAAAAATCAGTTACTGCAGATTCTTAGATAGACTGCTCTACTAGCTGACCTGGTGTCAGCTCAGCACGTCTTTGTAAATTGTTGTTCTGGTGTTTGTGTCTTCCGTATCTCTGACATTTCTCACCTTGTTTATCTGACAGCTTTAGTTACTAGTTACTTTGCAGATTCAGATTAATAATACAAAATATAATCAATAAATAATTCAGAATATTATTATGTCAGGCCATATTTGTTACCAGGGGAAAATGCATAAGCTGTCGGTATGTAAAGTAAAATATAAAATATACATGAATGCATTTAACTTAGCTCCACATTTACCTGCTGCAACATCTAAAGAATGAACACATTAATGCATCAATTATCACAATCCAATCATATAATATATTTTTTCTGTAATGGAGCATTCTGCATAATGAGTACTTTTACTGTCGGTACTTTAAGTATATTTCAATGCTTGTACTTTTACTTACGCCTAGTTCACACTACTTGACTTCAGCCCTGATTTTCCACTCGCCGACAGTTTTTCCAGCTCCCTGACAAATGCCCAAGATCATAGGCTGATGCATCGCAGCCGCATCCCAGATTTCTAGCAGGCCTAGTGATGTAGTGTGAAAACTACGACGACTTCAAGCCTTTCGATTACAAGATGGCAATTTGTGTAGTGTGAAACAGTACAGCGATGTGACGACTTTGAAAGTTGTGTAGTGTGAACTTGGCTGCAAGTGCCAGCTTATCCTGTGGGCCCATCTTGCCCGTTGTTAGACATTGTGATTGAAAGAATCAAAATGCAGCTAAAAGTCTTCTTTTTTTGTATCATCAAACAAGATGTTGTTTTCTCATTGTATTCTAATCTAAAAACACTCCAAAAGGCTTAATTTGCGTATTAAAATCACTAAAATGTTGTTGCCCCTGGATCTCCCTCCCTGATTTTGGTTTCATATCTTGTCATCTGTTTCACTAGAGTTTGCCGTGATGTGTATGCATGTTTTACAGTTTCTCATTAATCCACAGCATATGGTAGCATTTGTTATAAAGTTTACTTACTGACATGATTTATAGGACATCATTTAGAAAACAAAACAAAAAACTGGGGATTTTAACTTTAAAGGGGCTTTTTCACTGGTTGTGCTCATGCAGATCAGTTTACTTGTCATAGGGAGTACACAGCCTTTGAAAACGTCTGTACTGGAGGCTCTTTATCAAGTCTGATAAAAATAAATCGGATGATATCCTCCGGGTTATTATCTCAACATGGGCTTGAAGACAACTCATTTGATGACCCCCTGACACCACCGTCATGTGAAAAAATCCTATTAAACCCCAAAAATATAAAATCAAATTAAACGTACTGAGCACATTCAGACTCTCCTGATGATTTCCCCTTGTGGATATGACCTTTCCTGTGGAATCACATTAAATGAGCACATTCGTTTTCCTGAAATGATACCAACAGACTTTAATCCCTTGGTATTTTCTTTACCACTGCGACCAGTATGTTTAGCCAAACTTATGTTCGGACTCGAATAACACATGTAGGGACAGCACCAGTTTGTCGATGTTCCATTTGGTTCCATCTTATCATACTGTAGGATGTAATGAATAATGTTCAGGTTAGACTTCTATTCCTGATAGTGTGACAGGTCGCTCTCTGATCCTGGATAGATCCCTTAAAATATACAGGAGCCTGCTTTCATCTCACTCGTGTCCTTTAATCTTTCCATCCAGTGCCATCACTAATACAGAGGAGTGGAGTTACTTCAAAGCACTAACCAAAACCCCAACCCCGCTGGAGGAGAACATGTTCCACTTGGAGGAAGGTGCCCCAGGTCCCAGGGTTTACCTTCGGCCCAAGGAGAGCATCCACATCCCCCTGAAATACCAGAGTTTCCTCTGTGACCACACCATGGCCCTTCAGGTACAGTGCAGTATAGAAGTTGAAGCTGATGGAACGGTTAGGAATGGTAAACTTAGAAAACCATGTCTGAGGAACGGTACATTTTCCAGGCTGCGGCATTTTTGACCAAAGATGTTCTGCTTGGATTTGTCCAGTCACTGCATATTTCCATCACCTCAAATGTAAGATCTCCTTCTTGCTTTTGATGTTGCAGTACTTCCCAACTCTACTTATTGATTCGAAATGTGAAGAAGTCTTTTTTAAATTGATTGGCCTTGGGTGGTCCAAACACCCAAGGTTTGGTGTGAGAGCAGTATGGGAATATGAGGTGGAGCAGTGAAAGTTGAAATTTCATTGATATAAATGTCACCGCATTTCAAGGGTTGTTAAGGATAACTGATCTATCCTAGGGGCATGTTATACACGTGTTATGGCAACTTAGGCTCCGTAGTTAATTTGGTGCCAGAGGGACCGTTTACATATGCTGCGCTCTTATCTCCTGAAGATTACTGGGGTTTTTTACACCCTTTGGCCCTTTTCTGCTTTTTGTGATCTCTTACAGTTTTCTTGCCTGATGTGCACATGTGATATTTTCTTTTCTTTTTATTTTTTTTCATTTGCTCTTTTTTGTTTTGATAGATGATCAGCGTTGATAACTATTCTGTTTTCTTATCAAATCCTCACAGGGACCAAGCTTTCAACCGACAGGCAAAGGTTCCCAGATGGCCAAAAAGAATCTGTCCAACATTGTTGCTGCCAAGACCATGAAGGTACAGAGCGTGCCCGCTAATGCTTTGTGCAATATTTTCTGTGTATTATTTGGACCATTCTTATCTCGCCTGCTTCTCAATCCCTCGGTTGCTTGTCTCCAGGCTGGAATTATACTAAGCTATGGATTTGAGATGCCACGTGGATAGACATCATGTTTCTGCCATGATAAGAGCTTTAATATCGTCCACTTGAAACATTGTTAGTGTCTTAGCGTACTTCAATTGATTGTTATATTCAGAGGAGTAGAGGAAGGTAAAAGCCACCTAAACTAGTATGAAGCTTTTGATCTTGGGATTTATTTGGGTTAACTTTCTGGTACATCCCTAAGTCTAGCAGCAGCTAGTGTACACACACACACACACTCCCAGACTCTGCAGGTCTCTGCAGAGTGGCAGTGCACCGCCTCCTCCCCCCCCTCTTCTCCCACACAGTCGCAGCTCAGACACAAAGAACACTTTGAAGTGTCAACTACTTAGAAAAAAGTTACACTAGCCAGACAAGATTGTCAGGCGAAATTATATGCTGGAAATCACTTTTATCTTACCGAACATTGTTTATCTTCTCTTACTGGTAAATGTGTGGCTGGAGGGTTAAACTATCTCCGATTGGAGGACAGCTTGACAAGTCTGGCTGATCTACTTTAAATGAACCATGCACGTATAGTATTACTCTGAAGTTGTTCTCCCATTTTATGCACTTATTCAACTATTTATAATGTGAAGAAGTTTAGAGGAGGTAGAAACAATGTGAATGTGCTTGTTCGAATGTACTACAGATAAGACGATGTGCTCTACATCTCCATGTGACGCAACATGCTGGTCTGCAGCCCCTGCATGCTACGGCCGTCGCTGACCTGTACTTCGCAATAATCCTGTCGTTTGTGTAGAGTACAACACCCTACAGCTCCTCCATTGCACGGGGTGATGAAATATTTGCCAGTCTGCCAAGTGTGTGGGCGTGTCTGTGTCTGCCTAGTGTGTTTGTGTGTGAGTGTGTGTGTGTGTGTGTTTGTGTGCCAGTGTCAGCACTGCTGCTCTGAGCAAAAATCCTGTCAAGAGGTCAAAGAGGTTGGGTCTGGATCAAATCTGTGTCCCGCTAAAACTGACAAGCCCCAACAGCAGAGCTGTCAGGATGCCAGCTTTGGCACCGCTGTCAGTCAGCACACATCAGCAGAGCCAGATATGGGCTACTATTGCAGGTCAGCATGGGCATCGACGATTTGGACAGCTGCTGTTTGGCAGGGATCAACTTCTAAGTTTGGGAATTG